GATCCATGCTCCTAGGCCTGGAGCCTGCTTTTGAATTCTGTGTCTCCCTCTCTCTGCTCCTCCCCTGACATTGTGCTCTGTCTCTCATCTCTCTCTCTCAAAAATAAATAAAGCATTAAAAAAAAAAAACTTTTTAAAACCACCCCAGTCTATGGTATTTTGTTATGGCAGCCCAAACTGACTAGGACAAACATTAATACAAATTTTAAGCGTTAAAAGATATATCACTTAGCAGATGTCTATCAGTAGAAAATGAGTCTTTGCCTAATCAGTTGTCTGCTTTTTGGGAGGAAGTTGCACTGCCTTCTCCAGTTGAAGGTATCCATTTGAGAAGCACCATACTTATCTGAATAGTAGTATCATTCATAAAGATCTCCCATTATGATGATCAGTGAGTGAAGAAGAAAATACTTACAATACTGTCTGCACTGGCAGTTTGAAACCAACAACACTTGTCTGGGTCTAAATTCCACACCACAGGCAATTTTTAATATAAAAAATAAATCCGAGACCCAACATATAAGCGGTTCATTGGTATTAGACTTGCCAATCTGAAGTTTGTGAGACGAATTACTGAAAGATGGATATTAAACTCTATGTGCAGAAATGCAATGAGCGGTCAGTTGCGGGCTTACCTGAGGACGGTAAGTTTCTCTCCTGATTTTGGCAACCTCACGTTCTAAGGGAATTCTGAATTTGCTACAGATATTTAGGTAATTTGTCTTTCTCATGTCTTGCCCTGATTTCCACGGTTCTTAGCACTCTACTGAAGTGATCACTTGAAATACCATTATATCTGGAAAGCCCGTTAACGAATTATCCTGGCATGTTCTTCATTTCATGAACATTTGATTGCTAAACTAGCTGCCAACCTTTAGTCTTGTAATGTGATGTGAGGTAAGAAGGATGCCCCTAGCATACTGTATTTTTATTCTGACTCGAGCACTCCAGCGCAGTGGAACAGGGGATGTGTGAATGACTCTACATGATTAGCGGTGAGAGGCTGTTGAGTGCCAGGACCGAATGCACAGAGTGTGTGTGTGTGTGTGTGTGTGTGTGTGTGTCTGTCTGTCTCTGTCTGTCTGACTAACCAACAATGCAAGGAGGTGGGCCCATCAGGACAAGAATGAATCCTACAAGACAGAGAACTCCCTTCTTCTCTTCTCCTGATCACTTCCATTGAGAAAGCAAAACAACCAACAAATGTTCCTGAAATGAATGACACAGCATTAGCCAAGGTTTCCAGTTTCTCCAGCAAACTCTTAACTCCAACATGTTTCTGATTTCCTTATTGAGGAGGGAATTTACCCTTCAAAGCTTTCCTTAAATATTGTCTTGTGGTTATTTAATTTCTGTTCATTCTCCTTCCTGAAATAAGGTTTTACAAAATGTGTTAAAAAAATTAATATTCACAAGTGTATTATGCTAAAATAGAAAAGAAGTCAGAGAAAAACAGTATCATATGATTTCACTCACATGTGGGGTGACAAAATAGACTGAACATAGGGAAAGGAAGGAAAAATGAAGAAAACAGAGTGAGCAAACCATGAGACTCTTATTACAGAGAAACAAACTGAGGGTTGCTGGAAGCGATGGGAATTGTGGAGGATGCAGGCTAAATGGATGATGGACGGTAGGGGAGGGCCTTAGCAGTAGGCACTGGCTGTTATGTATGTGATGAATCACTATGAATTCAACTCCTGAAAAGCAATACTACATTGTATCTTAGCGAACTTGGTTAAAAAGAAAGAAAAAAAAAAAAGAAAAAGAAGAAAAAATACATAAAATCTAAGCAGAAAATGGCAAAACACCACTTTTAAACAGCAACAAACATTTTTTGTAATACAGTTTTTTAGGTCGTTTGGTCATTCCAAGCACAATATACAATGCTGAAGTATCTGTTTCAAACTATGTTAAGTTTGCTTTAAAACTTCAGTGTCTTGGGGAAACACCTGGGTGGCTCAGTCGGTTGAGGCGTCTGACTTTGGCTCAGGTCATGATCTTGCGGTTTGTGGGTTGGGAGCCCTGCGTGGGGCTCTCTGTGCTGACAACTCAGACCTGGGAGCCTGCTTCAGATTCTGTGTCTCCCTCTCTTTCTGCCCCCCGCCCCCCTTCTGTCTCTTCTTCAAAATAAATAAACTTCAGTATCTTCACGGGGGCGCCATAATGTGGTGTCTCAGTCAGTTAAGTGGCTGGCTCTTGTTTCTCAATATAGTCCGGGTCTCACAGTTCATGGGTTCCAAGCCCCATGTAATCTGAGTCTGCACTAACAGGTGCAGAGCCTGTGAGATTCTCCTCTCCTCTTTCTCTGCCTCTCCCCACTTAACTGAATTATAACTAGACCAAATGCATGCAAAATGTCTCTATAGAAGCACAGTAGAAAAATAAATTCTTTAAGTTCAATGGTTTATCCTAAAAGGTATTTTTTGCTTTTACTTTCAAATTCATCTGTCTTAAATTCAGTTAGAAATTTATGTATCGACAAACCCAGTTTACATTAAATAATTAAGTTTTTGTTTTAATAAATTCGGTGAGAGGATTTGTACAAAATTTTCAAAACATGAAAATTATAATCCCTCCCAAAATATTTGCAAAATGAAAAGAGGAGTTAATACAGGTCTTGGGAGAGAAGTATATTCTGTTTAAAGAACCTTTCTAATTAAAAACAAGAAAAACAACAAGCCGTATTCACAACTTTTCCTTCACTAAAAATGTCAGAGCATTTGGAAAGGGGCATGTCTACATGACCCCTGAACTGAAGAATCTGTCAAAGGCAAGGGGAATTTGATGCAAGAAGGCCTCACAGTGGGCTGTTCAGACCCTTGGTGAGTGTCCCAAGCCAGATCTGAAGAAACCGCGTCACCAGTGCTATCATTTTGGGTATTATTCTCCAAACAGGTGTTCACCAACAAGGTAGCACCAGATACCCAGCATCTGAGTAGGTCCTACTTGGCAGCTCCAGAATACACCCATTCTTCCCTCCCCACCTCAGTCCATGGGAGGAGTGTGCTGCAAGGGACCTGACACTCAAATTGACAGAAGAACCCTCAACAAAGCGACTCTGTGGTTCAGATGTTCTCTAAACCTTAGTGCGATTCCAGCAGGCAAGAATATTTCTGCTCATTAATAACTGGTTTTGCTTGGTGGAAATCAGTCAAAATGATGATATATTACACATTAAATAGAAGGAAGGTCTGCATGAAATAATGCTGCTACTTTGGTACTAGGCTTGCTAAACTGAAATTATGAAATTTTGTAAGATTAATACAAGAATGAAGTAATCTCAAATTTTATATTCTCAACATTCGGCTGTTTCCCACCAATGTTTTCCTGTATCCTGGGGCCACCTTAAAAAAAAAAAAAAAAAAGCACTTCTGGGGCGCCTGGGTGGCTCAGTTGGTTAAGGTTAAGCGTTGACTTCAACTCAAATCCTTAATCTAGTCAGTCTGTGAATTGGAGCCAGTGTTGAGCTCTGTAATGACAACTCAGAACCTGGAGCCTGTTTCAGATACTGTGTCTCCCTCTCTCTCTGCCCCTCCCCCCGCTCACATTGTTGTCACTGTCTGTTTTTTTTTTTTTTTTTTTTTTAAGGTGGCCCCAGGATACAGGAAAACATTGGTGGGAAAACAGCATGAATGCTGAGAATATAAAATTTGAGATTACTTCTGACTTGTATTAATAAATAATCTTACAAAATTTCATAATTTCAGTTTAGCAAGCCGCAGTACCAAAGTATAGCAAAGCATTATCATGCAGGACCTTTCCTTCTATTTAATGTACATATCATCATTTGACTGATTTTGCCCTCAGCAAAACCAGTTATTAATGAGCAGAAATATTCTTTACCTGCTGGAATCGCACTAAGGTTTAGAGAACATCTGAACCACAGAGCGTTTTGTTGAGGGTCTTCTGTCAATCTGAGTGCCGTGGGTCCCTACACTTCCCATGGACTGAGGTGGGGGAGGGAAGAATGGGTGTATCTGGAGCCGCTGGAGCCCCAGACCCACTAGATGCTGGCATCTGGTGCTACCCTTGTTGGGTGAAACACCCCTGTTTGGAGAATAGACTCCAAAATGATAGCACTGGTGACGTGTTCTCTCAGATCTGGCTTGGGACATTCACTAAGGGTCTGAACAGCCCACTGTGAGGCCTCTTGCATCAAATTCTCAGCTCCTTTGACATCGGACTCAGTTCAGGGTCATGTAGACATGCCCCTTCTCCAAATGCTCTTGAAGTAGACATTTTTTAGTGGGAAGGAAAAGCTAGAATATGGCCTATTGTTTTTTCTTTGCTTTTAATTAGAAAGGCTCTTTTAAACAGAATATACTTCTCCCAAGACCTGTATTAACCTCTTTTTCATTTTGGTAAATATTTTGGGAGGGATTATAATTTTCATGTTTTGAAATTTTGTATAAACTTCTACCGAATTTATTAAATAAAAACTTAATTATTTAATGTAAACTGGGCTTCTTCATAAAATGATACATAAATTCTAACTGAATTTAAGACAGATGAATTCTTCAGAAAGTAGCAAAATAATTTTAGGATAAACCATTGAACTTCTAAAGAATTTATTTTTTCTACTGTGCTTCTATAGAGACATTTCTCTTGCATTATTTATCTAGTTATAATTCAGTTAAGTGGGAGAGGCAGAGAAAGAGGGAGAGGGAGAATCCCAAGCAGGCTCTGCACCTGTTAGTGCAGACCTAGACATGGGGCTTGAACCCATGAACTGTGAGACCATGACCTGAGACAGAAACAAGAGCCAGCCACTTAACTGACTGAGACACACAGGCGCCCCTAAAGACACTGAAGTTTTTTTTAATGTTTATTTATTTTTGAAGAAGAGAGAGACAGAATGTGGGGGGCGGGGGGGGGGCAGAAAGAGAGGGAGACACAGAATCTGAAGCAGGCTCCAGGCTCCGAGCTGTCAGCACAGAGCCCGACGCAGGGCTCGAACCCACAAACCGCAAGATCATGACCTGAGCCAAAGTCAGACGCCCAACCGACTGAGCCACCCAGGCGCCCCAAGACACTGAAGTTTTAAAGCAAACTTAACATAGTTTTGAAAGTTGTGATACTTCAGCATTGTATATTGTGCTTGAATGACCAAACGACCCAAAAACTGTATTACAAAATGCTTGCTTGCTGTTTAAAAGTGGTGTTTTGCCATTTTCTGCTTAGGGATTTTATGTATTTTTCTTTTTTCTTCTCTTTTCTTTTTTTTTTTTCTTTTCTTTTTTAAATTTAAATCCAAGTTCGTTAAGATACAATGTAGTATTGCTTTCAGGAGTTGAATCTAGTGATTCATCACATACATATAACAGCCAGTGCTCATCACAAGGGCCCTCCTTACCGTCCATCATCCATTTAGCCCATCCTCCACACCCCCCATCGCCTCCAGCAACCCTCAGTTTGTTCTCTGTATTTAAGAGTCTCATGGTTTGCCTCCCACTCTGTTTTTATCTTATTTTTCCTTCCCTTTCCCTATGTTCAGTCTGTTTTGTTTCTTAAATTCCACATGTGAGTGAAATCATATGATACTTGTTTTTCTCTGACTTCTTTTCGCTTAGCATAATACACTTCAGGAATATTTAATTTTTTTAACACATTTTGTAAACCTTATTTCAGGAAGGGAGAATGAACAGAAATTAAATAACCACAAGATACATTTAAGGAAAGCTTTGAAGGGTAACCCCTCCCTCAATAAGGAAATCAGAAACATGTTGGAGCAGAGTTTGCTGGAGAAACTGGAAACCTTGGGGATTAATGCGGTAAGCTCATTCATTTCAGGAACATTTGTTGGTTGTGCTTTATTTTGCTTTCTCAATGGGAAGGGATCAGAGAAGAGAAGAAGGCATATCTGTTCTGTCCTTGTGGATTCATTCTGTCCTGATGGCCCACCTTGCATTGTTGGTTAGTCAGACAGACAGAGACAGACAGACACACACACACACACACACACACACACACACCTCTGTGCATTCGGTCCTGGCACTCAACAGCCTCTCACCGCTAACCAATCATGTAGAGTCATTCACACATCCCCTGTTCCACTGCGCTGGGAGTGCCTTTCGAGGTCAGAATAGCATGTTGTGGTATGTTAGGGCATCCTCTTACCTCACACGCAGCCATAAAGACTAAAGGTTGGCATAGTTTGTGCTAACAAATGTTCATGAAATGAAGAACATGCCAGGATAATTCGGTTAACGGTTCATCTCTTCAGGATATACGTGGTATTTCAAGTGATCACTTCAGTAGAGTGCTAAGAACTGTGGAATCAGCAAGACATGAGCGAGAAAGACAAATACCTAACATTCAGCAAATTCGAGAATTCCTTGAACGTGAGGTCAGCTGTAAAATCGAGGAGAGAAACTTACTGTCCTCAGGTAAGCCCGTAACTGACTGCCATTGCATTTCTGCACATAGGAGCGACATCCAGTTATCTTTCATAATTTTAAATGTCTCACAAACTCTAGAACTTGATTGGCAAGTCTAATACCAATGAACCGTTTATATGTTGGGTCTCGGATTTTATTTTTATATTAAAAATTGCCTGTGGTGTGGACTCTAGACCCAAGAGACAAGTTTGTTGGTTTCAACTGCCAGTGTAGACAGTATTGTGGTATTTTCTTCTTCACTCACTGATCATCAAGGCAATGGAGACTCATGAATGATACTACTATTCCAGATAAGTATGGTGCTTCTCAAATGGATACCCTCTCAACTGGAGAAATACCCAAGGCAGTGCAACTTCCTCCCAAAAGCAGACAACTGATTAGGCAAAGACCTGTTTTCACTGATAGGACATCTGTTCCCAAGTGAGTATTTTTAACGCTAAAATTCTTGTATTAATGTTTGTCCTAGTCAGCTTGGGCTGCCATAACAAAATACCATAGACTGGGTGGCTTTAAAAGTTTTTTTTTTTAATGTTTATTTATTTTTGAGAGAGAGAGACAGAGACAGAGCACAAGCCAGGGAGGAGCAGAGAGAGAGAGGGAGACACAGAATCCAAAGCAGGCTCCAGGCTCCAGGCTGTGAGCATGGATCCCGATGCGGGGCTTGAACTCATGAACTGCGAAATCATGACCAGAGCCAAAGTCGGACGCTCAATCGACCGAGCCACCCAGGCACCCCTGATAGACTGGGTGGCTTTAAACAACAGCAATATGTTTTCTCACACTTCCGGAGATTGAAGTCTGAAATCAGCGTGCAGTATGGTCGGGTTCTGGTGGCAGCTCGCTTGCAGGCTTGCAGACAGACAGACGCCTTTTTTCCCTTTTTGCTCACTGTGTCCTCCCATGGCAGGCAGAGAGAGGACTGATCCCTCTTCCTCTTTTTTTTT